ACAGARCATAGAAGTAGCCAGGTATGAAGTAAATTAGATAAAAAGAAGAATTGAGGAAAAAAAAAAGTGTCATTTTCCATGTAAAATAAAATTTTTGTTATCCATTTTGACTTGTGTATCCAAAATATATTTGGTAGAAATATCATATTAGTGGAGCAATGAACTTACCAAGGGAAAGACAGTGAAACATACTCATTGCAACTATTTAATACTTCCCTATTGTCCTATCAATTTCCGGTTTCCTAATGTGTATWTATTGTTGTATTATTATTTCATTTACTATAGCAGTCAACCCAGATGGTCTTCAGTAAATATTTACCAGTATTCAGGTAATTTTTATGATGTATGCAACAGTGTCTTTTAAAAAAATGTAATTATTTTCCTCTTGTAGTAAATACACATAATACCTGTATAGATAACTTCAAAAACATGTATTATCACCTGGACTTTAATCTACCCTGTTGGCATCCAGGAGATAAGTATATGTCCTAATTCCATCATCTAGAAATGTACTGAATTTGTRCAAGAGTATGTATATATYTAAAAATATATATTTATATATTTAAATAGGTATGTATATATTTGAAAAGGTGTGCCATGTGCCTTTGTACAGATCCACCTTTGAAAGCAGATTTCCTTTGTCTTTCCAGTCAGTCATCTACAATGTGATGAAAGCAGAGTAAGTTTATAAGAGAGGTAGCTAGAAGCACACAAAAAATCTGTCATAAAATGATGCTTCTCAGCTTTTCTAAAGGTGTGTTTTTTAGTTAAGTTGATCTGTGATGGGAAGGGCAGTGCATAGCTCTGGGAGGTGGCAGGTTAAGGAGCAACCTCTTTGTAACGTTTTGTGAATTGTAGTTAGGGCTGTATCATAGCTACAGAGGGTCACTTTGAGAAGCTTTCCAGGAGGTCATTTTTATAAGTTTGGAATATCCTGGGTGGTGACCTTTGCCAACATGTAGATGGAAAGGGCTCTTAAAGCATTTGGGTTTAGTTTTTAAGTCATGGGCTTTCTTGTTCCTTCTAACCAATACAGTCCAAATTCCTGGCAGCAGCTGTACTCTCACTTKATACTCTGATCAGCAGGTTGTTTATCTGAGGGTGGAAAATCCATCCTCTGGGACTCATGGTGACCTTCTCTCTTTGTGACTATTTACCAAAAAGTAACTTGTTTGAAGGTGATTTATTTCCTTTTATTTTTTTCAACTTCAAATGCACATTTTAATGTCACAACGTGCAGTTGCACTGTGGAGCATGCAGGAGATGACTCTACTGTCTGCTTTTCTGTACTTTCCACAGTGTTTGAGCTTCTACTATGAAGAGAAAAATATAGTAAAAACTGTATTTATAAGACTTACATTAAAATAGATTTTCTTTTTATTCTGTGAAATATTGCTGCTGCATGGTGAAGGTCATTCCAGCATTCATTTGAAAAATGTAAGAGATGAAAAAAAATCATGGATGAATRGAGTTGCTGGACCCTGGTCTCTGATTTTTTTTTTTACATGGATGGTTTCCATGTAAAAAGCTTTGGTTTTTTCTTGCTATTCTATCAGATTATTTCTTCTACTGTGCATTTGCTGGTATTTTATTACTTCAGGGAAAAAACTTTTAGATCAACTATTGTGTGATGACTATATAAAACCATAAGATATCAACAAATATAATGAAAAGGAGAGTGAAATGTTAGATTATGACAAGTTTATTGCRCTCTGATTTTAGCTTCACTGAAATATAATTCCACTGCAGAGAAGCAGCAGCACTCTTAAACTAGCCTAGTAGAAAAAAACCCCAGTATTTATTATGTAAACGTATGTAAACTTTGTCAAAGATGTGCCATGTAAAACTGTTGCAAGGTATTAATACATGTTGGTTTGATGTAAAAAAAGAAGTTTATGCCTAAGTATTTTTTAACMATTTGTTATTTCTTCTTGTTATTATCTCTTCACATGGGTAAAATTTCCTAAATTGAATGACTTGGCACTTCTGTGGTGCCTTACAGCTCTGAAAYGCTGCGTAGATATTTGTCATGGCACAGAGCAGCCCAGTGAAGGAAGGTGGATGAGTAAGCATTATTATCCCTGTTTTACAGATGGGGAAGCTGAGGCACAGAGATTAAGTGACTTTTCCAAGGCCACACAGCAAGTCAGTGGCAGATCCAGGATTAGCACTCGGGGACTTCCTGGATCCCTCTCCCATGCTTTAAGCAGTAGAGCATTGTGTTCCCTGGACTCAGCAAGCAACTCATTGCAGTAATGGACAGTTCCAAGGACTTGCACCTGGTCAGTGTGTCCACACATTTGTTTGCAGACTCCTGCACTATGTCAGTATGGTTTGAATATCCAGTCTTTGCAGATTGTTGCCCTATGTAAAAATTTCTACCTTCGTCATCTTCAAATGGGTTAAAAGGAAGAAGTGGTAGAATTCTGACATGAATGTGGTATGGCAGTGAAGAGCATTTATATTTCATGTCTTAACCTGCTGAAACTGATAGGCCAAACTGCTGTGGATTCATGGCTTTGAGGATGTCTGTGTGGAGTTTAGTTGGCATGAATTCTGTCTTCCATGACTATGTTACATGGTTAGTCTTGCCTATACTTTCATTTTCAGACTCTTCTTTATTGCAACACTTAATGATAAGTTTGTAGTTTTTCTGAAATTGTAGTAAAAAGCAAATAATTACTAACTGAAATAGGTTTCCAGTCTCTATTTATCCAAGGGGTAGTGGAGTGGGATCTGTCAYTGTTTTAGCTTGTATTGTGATAGTTCTCACTGCCTAAGGAGTTAAAGACTAATTGCACTGAACTGAAAGTGAACCTCTCTCTCACCTCTCCCCTCCTCCAAGGGGCAGTACAGGAATCACAGAAATTACTTCTAGAATAAATGCAGTATAACTTTTATTCTGGTAAATGCAAGGTTGCTTTCCTGCTGCTCCCTGGGAAGTCTGCATGTTCAGTGCAAGGCCTGTTTAATTGGACTTTGCTCAGAGTTTGACAAGTGAATTGCTAACACTCCCAATTAAGCTGTTTTTCCCTGTAATATTAATGGATAAACCCACTTCTGAGAATGAGGCAAGGCTGAGACTTGCTGTGACATTACAGGAAGAGGAGGCAGAGAAGAAAGACTGCCAGAAGCTGGAAATTGAACACATGGGAAGGGAGAAGTCAAAGTGTATGAGCATATTTTGATAAATATTAATGAATTAATTTGTATTTAATTTACTTGGATAATCTGTAAAGGCTTTAAACTGTCCAGCAATTTTGTATTTTCTTCACTGTAAATTTTCCCTAAGATTGCTTCCTTTCTGGTGCTTATGTCCTGTGCTCGAATAGCTTATGATATGGCTGCAATACTTGGCCATTGACATCCTGCCTAATCACTCACCCAGGGGCATGACGTTGTTATGTCTAACTGCTTTAAAATAATGGATTCATTTTACTAAAATGATCAAATGGTTTGTGCRAAGTTATACTTCCCTGGTACATATTAATAGGTTATTAGCTAATTCTAAATTATTAAAACACAAAACAGTTTAAATAGAAGGCCATTTCTTCTTGCCATGTTTTAGTTATGTACTGTTATCTGTGGGAAAGCTCTAATAAAGACATTTTAACACTTGGTCTTTCCTTCTTTAACAGCCCAGATGCTTGGTGCTGACACATTCATAGGATTTTTCTATGTAAGATAGCTACAGCATGACAGCTATTTTTATATAAGAGAGGAGCCTGAAACAAAACCTCACATCCAAAATGCACCACATCCAGCTATATAAGTGAATCTTTTTGCATGGGGCATCTTGTCTTTAAGGGGAGGTGGTCAGGGARCTTAATTTCTTATTATATTCCATTGCGTTCTATATATAGATGTATATTTATCATGTAAAACTGGTATTTAAATTCCCTTGCTTCAGACTTGTATTATGATACCAGTTCTATATATTGAAATCAAGCAGTTCTAGTTCTAATATCATTTACTAAAAYCCCTCTACTAATGACAAGTAAATATATGTTCATGATATATTAATGGATACTTTTGTGTAATGCATCATTTTCTATAATAATTTAATTGAAACCACTCTAAATCGTGTTGTGGAATATAGGCTGTATTTAGCAGCTGGATTTTTTCATGAGTGGTGATGGCAAACTTGTAGTGAACCAAATACTCATTTTAGCACAGATCTAGTGTCTTGTTGCTGAACTACCAAAAGATTTTTCTGTTCAGGAAAATGTGTTGGGTTTTTTTTATGTCAGAAATGACAAAATCACTAATTTCTGTAGCTTTTCTAGCCTGAGTACAATACACTAATTGATCATATGCTACATTTACAGTTCAGTAGACAGTACAGTTACAGTGCATGTATGACTATAGGATAAAATTAAACCTGTAAATATGTTCCTGAGGAAGAATAGCTTTTTAGTGTGTGCTGCCTGCCTTCATACTAAATTCAGCTTGGTGTTTGTAAAGAAAAGCAGAGACTTTGCAATTCACCAGTGAGTGAAGCTAGTTGTTTGGTGTTGGTTTTATTTCCTACAATATTGCCACTGGAATTATTGTCTAGCTCTGCCAAAGTATAGGGAGTGTTAGCAATAATCATTTAGGAATCCTGCATGTAGCTCAGGATCCTGGTGTAAAGATGAAAATACATGTGCAACCCCTTTCTTCAGGTGCACAAGAATAAAGCTGCCTTGATCAGACGTTTCTTCTCTCATCTCTTTCATTGTCCTATTGRCTCATGTGTTTTTTGGTTTCTGGTAATCAGTGTTTACTCATCATATTGCAGGTTTTAGCAGAACTTTTTCACATTAAAGTTAGCTGTAAAAACTGGTGTTTAAGAAATAGAATTTTAAAAATAAAATAAAATTCGTAAACCCCTTTTTTGTTCTTGAGTTGGAAAAGTCAGTAATTAAATATTAAAAACATCTTTGATTTATAGTACTGTACAATACTGCCAATAGTTTCCAATGAAAAGTAGCTGATCTGTCCTTCTTTCTCTTTTGCAGAGAAATGATGAGGAGGCTGTTGTGGATAGAGGTGGTACTCGCTCCATTCTCAAGACACATTTTGAAAAGGAAGATCTAGAAGGTGAGGGATGATTTTTCTGTGCTTTATGTTGTCACTTTCTTCTGAATRTACTGAAATATAATTCCAATGTGTAAACTTATTGATTTGAGCAGGGATGCAAAGAGATAAGAGAGTAGAATCTCATAATTTATTTTAAAAAGAGAAATATTGCTTTATTCTCACAGCAGTGTTCAGAAGCAGATGATGGTGGGAGGAGTTTGCTAGTTGTCAGTGAGCCATAGTCAAGTCCTGTAAATATGCATGTGTGACTTCAGATAAGTCTTTTAAGTTTTCAAATACACAAATGAAAGCAGGACCGCTGATTTAGTACTTAAAAAGGCTTCTACATTTGCATTACAATCCTCATGTAGTTGCCTAGCTGCATCTTCAGCTGAACAAAAACATTCTGGAGTGGCAGAGATTGGATACATGCTTGATGATATCCACTACAGAAACCACTTAACTTGACCATGTGAAAGTGAGAAATTGTGAGAACTGTTTTACATTATCGCTCTAATGAGTCAGTTGCATTTCTGTTTGTTTAGTGTATCCCAAACTTTGGTTACTTCTGTACTTAAATTCTTATATTGAGTTGTGTGAGCCTCTGAGTCATAGTTACGATGAAAATGAGTTTCTGTTGCCCATATGAGATCCCTTTCCTGACACTGGAACTATCTGAGTTTGTTCGCTTCTTTTAGTGAGATGTGGAGGTTCTCATCTCTGTCACACAGATCCACATGAACTAGCTCAAAAGAAATACTGACATCAACATGCTACATCTGAAAAGTTCCCTGCTTTGGGTCTAAAGAGAGAGATCTCTMTTTGTCCAGGAACTTGAGCTTTCTAAATGCCTGCCATTAGTTACTTCATAATTCCTTTTTCTTTTTTTTTTCTCTGGCTGTATGAACTTTGTGTTCTCTGCTACATGTTGGCCATATTGATGATTTCATGGAAATACCAACGTGCTACACAGCAACTCTCTGTTATTGCTTCCTTCAGCAGTAGCTCAAAAAGCAGATGGGGCCTGGCTGTTTCTKTGTGAGMTTGTCTYTCACAGGAGGGTGTTAAATGTTGTRCACTGTAGCATGGATGAGGYAGGTAGCTCTCTGCTCAGTCTGGGGCAAGTCTGAGTGCAAGTCTGTGCAAGGATAGATCTCAGATGTTTTCAGGGTGCCATTTTGGTGTCTCCAGGGATGAGTCTACCAGTTGGTCAGGCTGGCAATAACAGTTTTGGACTTAGGCACACAACCTTCTTTTCTGAATCTTGCATTTAATCTTCTGTGGTCTTCAGTCCCTTGATTGCATCCTTGACCAAAGAGAAGCCATTGAATCTGGTGTCCTTAGAGAAACATCTACTAGAGGAATGGGAGCTCCCTGTCTCCCTTTCTCCATGGTACTGACTCACAGAGGTTTTGTGGGGTGAGTCCACCCACAAAAATGCCCTTTTGAGTCATTTTATTGATGATGATAAGGTGGCATTTAAAAATGGACAGCTTTCTGGAGAATGACATCTTTAAGCTCAGTCACATAAGTAGACTCAGGCATTAAGGTAGTCAGAATTACTGTGATGTTCTGCATGTGACTGCATGGAACATGATTTAAGAACTGTATTTAAGTACTTTTCCCCCCACCATCCTATGCRAGTAGAGTTGCTTGTGTGAAATATCAGTGAAAATATTATTTCAAAGATCTGCTCCTGGATTGTTATCAACAGAAATTGGAACATGCCAGCGACACTCCCACAATCCTTCCATCAATTTAGATTGAATTAAATTTAGAATATTGAGAAGTTCTGCAGTTAGCAATGAATCTTGCTTTTATTAAAAATGAAATCCCATTGTTTCATAATGTTCTAAGAAGACAGTTTTTCAGTGTAGAATCAATCCTTCATAATGCAGTTAGCTTTCTCAAATAAATTTCATGCTTACTCTAAGTTCAGATCAGTTCATCTTTAAATATATAATCACTGCATTCAAAAATACCAAGTGACATCAAGAGTTTTGAAGAGATTGCAGATTTTAATATCCAGTTGCTGTTAATAGCATGTCCATTTGTTTTGCAGTATTTCTAGGCACTTCTCCCCTGGAAACAGTGAATGTGACTCACAAATATCTGTCTTATTCATTGTACATTTTGTTGGGTTCTGCTGAAAAATGTACCTTTTTCCTAATGACATAGCAACTATGAAATATGAAATTAAATAATCAGGTGCTAATTGCATAGCTTAGAAAATAATATAATCAGACCATTAATATGTATTATGTAATTAGCTTTTTGGCATTTAATTGGGTTTCTGTTTTAAAAATGTAAATAGCTAGTTACAATATATTCTAGGGAAGACTGTCTTTGCTAGGGTGTTAGCTTCAATGGCATGCAACATTTCAAAAATTGCAATTCATATTAATAACTACAGGTTTAAATCTGAAAATACTGAAAATCAGTATTCAAATTCTTMTYA